TTAATTACAGTCTTTCTATTATCATGTAACTCAGCTATGAGTATAACTACACCGTGGAATGAGTAAAATAGATAGGTAATATTCAATATATATATATATATATATATATATATATCTTATGTTCTTGCTCTCTTTTCCCACTGTTCCCAATTCTCAATATTAGCTCCTATTATATTGGTGCTTTCGTTAAGAGTTGAACTCAAGGAAGGTGTCTACTCTTCCTTCTTATATTGATCCCATAAAAGAGTTCATTTGGTTAATGGATGTTGTTTGTTCTCCTATCAAGGAAGGTGGACTGGGGCTCAAAAATCTTCGGAGTGTCAATAATGCCATGATCATGAAGTTAGGGCAGGGTTTGTTATCCAATAAGAACTGTCTGTGGGCCAAAGTCTTAGGGAATAAGTATAAGATGGGAAACGATCCCATCCATTCCATCGACAGGGTTGGAACCTACTCTAATCTTTGGCAGGGTATTAGGAGGAATAGAGACTTTGTGGAGAAAGGCTCTCAGATCCTTCTTGGTAACGACACCTCGACTAGGTTTTGGTTGGATAGGTGGACGAATAAAACTGACGCTTTGTTGTCCTACTCCATTAGCTCTGTTCCGTCGGAAGCCTTAAGTTGGAAGGTTGCTATTTGTGTTTATCCGAATGGAGACTGGAACTGGGACATGTTTCATAACTGACTTCCCACAAACATCTCTATTATTATCGCATCCATTCTCCCCCCCACCCCTCTTGATGAAGAGGATAGGGCCATCTGGAATTTATCTCACGATGGGGTCTTTTCGGTCAAGAGTGCTTATAGGATCCTTGATCCTGTCCCTCCCAATGACAGTATTATTGATTGGAAGATTCCATAGTGCTGGGAAGGCCCCCAAAGAGTCAAAACCTTTCTCGCATCCATTCTCCCCGCACCCCTCTTGATGAAGAGGATAGGGCCATCTGGAATTTATCTCACAATGGGGTCTTTTCGGTCAAGAGTGCTTATAGGATCCTTGATCATCTCCTTCCCAATGGCAGTATTATTGATTGGAAGATTCCATAGTGATGGGAAGGCCCCCAAATAGTCAAAACCTTTCTATGTCCTCTATTGGTAAACAAATTGATGACAAATGAGCTTAGGACCCAAAGAAGGTTGGGTGACTATGATATCTGCCCGAGGTGCAATGCTGCGGTAGAGAGTTGTCTTCACCTTCTTCGAGATTGCAGTTAGGATGGAGAGGTTTGGTTCCATTTTATCCATTTTGGTGATAGACCAGCTTTGTTCCAAGGAAATCTCATCGAATGGGTGTCTGGCAACTTAAGTAAGAAGGGTGAAGGAGATAACAATTGCAGTTGGAGCCTTATCTTTAGTGGAACTTGTTGGCTCATCCGGAAGGAAATAAACAATGGGTTTTATAAGAGTTATGTCGTAGGAAAAGTGATTGTGTAATGTTATAGAGATTCGTTTTGCGTGCCTTAATTATTTATTTTTTTTTTGTTTTAAAAAATGTGGGCCCCACAAAATGTTGTGAGTGTAGAAAAGTTTGTTGTGTTATGTTAAATGATAAAATGAAAACCCATAAACAATCTTATTTTTAATGCCTTTCTGTCACTCCTCATAAGCTTAGCTTTAGCGCTGGCCATGTAGCTGAGAATTTCTTTTTCGCTAAAGCCATGTTGTCAGATGTTGGCCTTGTCAGACAGGAAAAAAAGGAAGCCCTTATCGCTTGGACGTTTCCTGACCCAACCTGGGTGAAAGTTACCACTGATGATGCCTGTAGTATTAATGGTAATTAGGTTGGTTGTGGAGGAGTTATCAGAGACTGCAGTGGTTGATGGCTTGTGGGATTTTCCAGGAACCTTGGTGCTTGCAACTCTTTTATGGTTGAGCTTTGGGGTATCCTTATTGGCCTTGATCTTTCTTGGTCGTCAGGGTATACGTGCGTTTGGTTGGAGACCGACTCCTCTTCGGCTATCCAAGCGATCCAGAATTTGGGGAACTTTCAGCAACCTTTTGCTAGTTTAGTGAGAAGAATTCAAAGCCTGCTTACCAAAACCTAGAATGTCAAGATTACTCATGTGCATAGAGACGCTAATGGTGTTGTTGACTGGCTTGCTACACATAAGGTTGAGGCCAACTGGCTCATACATTTGTTTTATTCTCCTCCTGAGGGCTGTAATGTTCTTGTTAGGAATGATCTTAGAGGGGTCATGTACCCTAGGCTGATCTATAGCTAGTTTTTGTTTCTTTTCTTTCCTTAGATGTTTCAAAAAAAGAAGAACTAATACAATTAAAAAAATCTTCAAATAATTGATGTTGTGATACATTAATTTTTTAATGACTAAATTAAACATTTATTCTTTATATTTTACCTAAATTTTAAAAAATCGTACAAGATAGTTGTTTCTTTTTAGAAAATCAAAGAATTAACATCTCACGTATAGGATGGTTTTCATTTTCAACGCTATAGTTCAAGATAGTAAAATTATACAGACAATTTCCAAATTCAATTTATAATTGATGTGTAAATTTTTTCTCACCGCCGCTGCACTCTTTACACTGTATCAAATGTGATCTTACTTCTTTCCTGCATTTTCTTTGGTTTCATTTTCTCATCGAATCCATCCAATGGTGGTTGGGCAACAATGTAAAGCATTTTAAACGGTCTCTCCTCTATAGTCAATGCGTAATTATTGCCTTTTGACGTAGTTAATTAAAGGAACTAATTAGTATTTAACAGTAACGAAAATATGGACCCAACACAAAGCAATTCGACACCACCACCGCACCGCCCACATCATCTATTTGAATGGCTGATCATAATCATATTTACTGAGGCAAATAAAAGAAGGAGAAGAAAAGCGTGTATTATTCCCGTACTTTTAATTTTTCTATGAATTGATGAACTCTTCCTTTGTTCGAAAGTATCTTTTTCCCCTCCCCAGTATCTAAGCACTCATTCTTCTAGATCCGAAAGTATATTTTATATACTGTTTGAGATAAAAATACCAACTAATTATCGACTAATAATAATATACTTATTTACAATTAATTAGTTACAAAATTGTGTGTATTCTTAAAAGAGAATATGACCACGTCTTAATTTAACATGACCATGTCTATTACTAAAACACAGCATGGCTTATTTGCTAGAAAGCTGCTGCAATGCTACCGGCTCGAATAGAAATTTTGTTAATTAAGCTGAGGCCAAAAAGTCTTTCGAGAAATTCTAAAGAGAATGACATTTATTATAGACTAAAGTGTCTATTGGGTCCTTAATATAAAATACAATTCTCATTTTCATCTTTTATAAAAAAAATATTTATATTAATCTTTTTTTATAGATTAAATTGGATCTTCGTTAAATTTCTGAAAAATTATATTTTCAAAAAACTGAAATTATAAAAGAACCAAAAATTAATTTTATTTTATTGTTTTGTAAAAAATGAAAGTGAAAACCGTTTTTTGTTTGTTTGTTATTTTGTTAGAAATTCAAAAGAAATTTTACTCTTTATTATATGAATAACATGAAAGTACAAATGACTAGTCTTCGTAGGCTTGGAAGTATTCCCTCCCACAACCCAGAGATCAAAGCAGTACCAAAGTGACAGGAATTGGATATGAGGTTAGTGAAAGAGCTGTCCAATCAAGCTTCACGGGTGGGCACAAGAAACTTTCATTAAAGTATGCTGTCAACATTGCAATTACTACTGCAATTGCTTTAATTATGTTCCGGCGGCCTTGATCCTCTCCATTATGGCCCCGAAATTCATGCGATTAATTCTATAATTAGATTTCTGACAAGATCGACGTTTAGTTCTTAGACTTTAACTTAATGTTTTTGATATAAATTATGGGTTTAAATTGTCTCCTTTCGTAGGAAACAATTATCTTATGCCAGAAAAATATAGAAAATTATATTATTATTTTTAAAATAATGGGACTCACATAATTTATTTTTATGGCATGAAGTAAGTTGTCTTCTATTAAAGGAGATTAATAAATCCCATAAATTATTCAGCATTCGATTGTCAACCGATACCGATTGATTTAGATTCGAACCAAATAGGTTCATAAGAGTGTTAAAATTTTCTCTATTAATTTTTTAACAAAGCTGTATTTTTAAAAGGAAAAAAGAAGTATCCTCTGAAAGGACACAAGCTTGTATCCTTTTAGGTGATTTACACAAAGTTCAACTGATCATATTTTGTGTAAATCTTAAAAGTTACTTTTTGTCTCTCTCTTTCCATTCACATCGCTGACGTGTAAAGTAAAAAAAAGTAACTTTTCAGATTTACATAAAATATGACCGATCAGACTTTCTGTAAGTCACTAAAAAGACATAATTTACCTTCTTTACAAGGACACACATTAAACCCATTTTTAAGACTCGCATGAATTTAAAATTATTAATTAAATTAGAATAACCCTATGACAACTTAATTGACTCGTATTAGTTAATAGCCTTTAATTTATTGGACACCGTTAACGAGTTTTTTTTTTGGAATAATCATTAATTTACATATGAACTAAATTATTATTATTATTATAATTAAACAATTCATTTATTTAATATCAAATAATTTTATCACTATTGGTATAAATTGTAAATAAATAATTTCATTAAAATTAAATGTGTCTAATGCTAAGGCCTAAGGGCACACTTTTTAAAAATACACTAAGTTATTTATTTATTTAGACCCCACTTATCATATAATTGAACAGTTAAAAAAATCAAAAGTGGAGGGTTATCATGTGGTACCTAGCGGTTGCATTGCATCCAACTTTATCAACGAATTAATGAATTGACCTTAACTATTGAGGAAAAGCCACCAATTTGTGTCTGCCTGTGTCGTTATTAAATCTATTTATTAAACATGCTTTAAATCCCATAATCCAACATAATCAATTAATCCCATTATATAAAGGGCTAAGCCTCTCAACCTTGCAGTACAACACAACCTTTCCACTTAATTTTCTTGTTCTTAATTATAGCAAAGTTCTTTACTGAGAAAATGTCTCGGGGAAGAGGCAGTGCATCTTCAGTTATAGTTATGGTCACTTTGATTTCACTACTATGCCTGTTGGTTATGGTGGAACGCCATAGTCCTGCAGCAAAAACACACATCGTTGGAGGACCTGGGGGATGGACCTTCAACACTGATACTTGGCCCATTGGACAAAAGTTTTTACATGATGATGTGCTAAGTAAGTTAAATTAAGCATCCACCCCTTATATTTATGTTATGTCCCTTTCTTAATTTTCTAGATATTGTCTAGAATAAAGTTTGTAACTATGCATATGCTAATTGTTACAGTCTTCAACTACGACCCAACGACCCACAATGTGGTTGCCGTGGACAGCACTGGATACAGCAACTGCAAGACGTCGCCGGCGAATGCTAAAGTTTACAGTTCAGGGAATGACCAAATCAGGGTATACAGAGGGATGAACTGCTTCATATGCAACTTTACTGGTCACTGTGAATCTGGGATGAAGCTTGCCATCAATGCAGTATTAAGATAGAATAGTTAATGGTCAATTAACCAAGAGTTTCTCTTTAATTATCCCAAAATAATAGTATTAGTGTTTGATCATGTGTGTACTTTGTTGTATTGTATGGATTTGGAATATCAATCACATCATAGTTTTGTACAGAGAGTGGGAGTGAGCTGGCTTTGTGGTGAGAAATATGTTAGGATGAAGCAGAGACGGTCCCTCAGTAACGGACTCTTCTTGGACCTTGTATCTGCATACTGTAAAATTATTTAAGTCTGTGTGCCAATAATGTGTATTTGTGTGACGGCGTCGTCATGTGTGGTTGTGCAAATAAATTAAATTTTCTACATTGCTCCACTAAGGATGACCGCAAAAGCATTTGGGGAGAGCTAGCTTTGAGGATAAGTATTGATGTTATTATATTGACCACTAGTACAACTCAAAATTGTTTTGTCTGTTTACATCGAAACTGAACAAATCATTTCTACTCTTTAATTAGTCGAGTATCCATCACGTGTGAAATTATTCAGTGCCTGCATACTAATGATTATATAATTGACTTTCTAGTATGATCTCTGAGTTTCTTATTTTGAAAGGAATGATCATTAGCACTATGAATTGTTGTTGTAAGTGGGTATTATACTTTGGCAAAGTTTAAGTTGGGACCGCGCGTGACATTTATTTATAAGCTCTTAAATAGAAAAAATTACCCTCTAACTAATAGTTATTACTTTTACCATAATGATAGATGTTAGAGGGATATAATAAAATTTATTAAGTCGTTCACTTCTAAGCTTAAGTTATTAGGTGATTAATTGTTGTCCGTGATTACGGAATTACGAGTTTGATTCTTACTATACCTCAGTTTCTAGTGGAATTAAGGGAATGAGCTAAGCATGATACATATAAGTATAATGATTTATAAATTCATATAAAGTGTCAATTGTTATTGTTATACCGGTACAACAATATGTAATCTTATATCAAATCTTGACTATTGATTATTTGTTTACATTTAACAGTTTAAATAGCTAATAAATCAAAGTCGTTGAAATAAATAGGATTAACGACTAAGACTCTGAATGTAACTTAAACCAGTGTAAAATGATCATCACTCTAGATATTCGTATAATGTTTTAACCAATTTATGCACTAAACTAATTTTTATTTTTATTTTAGAAATTATTTCTTTATTTAATGCCCTAAACTATGTAAGGCCCGTTTGGATGAGCTTGTAAAGAGAAGACTTTTATATCTAACTTATTTTAGAAATGCTTTTCACAAAAATTAAAATTGTTTAAATTTTAAAAAAAATTTGACTTTTAACTTATTATTATTTTTAGATGCTAAAATTTTTAGCTTCCAAAATAAATAAATTTTTGACTTTTTGTAACTTTTTTTTAAAGCAAATATCCATATAAGTTTTGGGGCCTTTAGTTTGTTATGTTACGGGAAAAATGAATAGTAGTCCTGCAGAAAAGAGATTTTGGTGGGCCACTTTAAAAGAATAAAAAAAATAAAAATAAAGGAAAGTGAGATTTTTTATGTATCAGCAAGAATGATGAATAGTGTTCATGTAACAGGATAAACTAAAAATCCTAAGTTTTGTAGTAGAAATACTTTTTTTTTTTTTTTAAAAGAAGAAGCATTTGCTGACTAAAAAAAGAACCCATGTGTTTACCAAAAAAAAAAAAAAAAAGAACCCATGCAAGCGAACTCTATATAAAGTTAATGGGTTTTACTTTTATCCTTTAACATAACACAACAAACTTTCCTACTCTCACAACATTTTGTGGGGCCCACACTTTTTAAAACAAAAAAATAAAATAAAAATTAAGGCACGCAAAACGAATCTCTATAACATTACACAATCATTTTTCCTACAACATAACTCTTATAAAACCAAGTTAATAAATATAAACGAGTCTTACCATACAATTTTGTTAAAATGACTATTTAATTATTTACTTTTCTTTTTCCTTTTTCTCTGGGTACATTATTTGCTCATTTCTATTGATTTTGTGCATGCAAGTGTACAAAATGGTTTTTTTAACATATGTAAGTAATAATGTATACACGATATCGCTCCTAAACTTGGGAAAAGATCTGTTTATAATTTTTTTTTACAAATTACATTAAGTATGACCGATTATATACTCTTGATTAAGGTATGACCGGTCATACTTAGTGTAGTATAGTTTGTAAGAGTTGTAAATAAAAAGTTTGTAAATATAACCTTCTTCCTAAACTTATGCAACTTTTTTTGTTTGTTCAGGAACTATTGGAAAGTTGGATCCTTACTAGTGGCAATAAGATCTGCTATTTTTGCGGGCCTAGGCCGAAAGTGAAATGATACGGCAGAGCCTCGTTCTTTTGGGTCAGCATTTTCTCATAGACGTATATAAATATCCAATCTCATTGAGCTAAGATAAAAAAGAACACAGAAAAGCAACTATGTCCAACATCCTCTAAAATCGCTCCATGCATTGATGTTTTGTTGGCCCAAATCCGTTGAAAAGCTAAACAATAACCAACATTTGTAGTAAAAAATCTCGGAAAAAAATAATTAATAATGCAAATCCTAAATGACCAATAATAATAACAATCTTCTAAAAAATTCCTTTACATGGTATAAGAGCTTTGGTATTACAGGTTCGATCCTCACCGTCCTTATTTAATTAATAATTAATTAAGTTTTGTGAAATTTTTTAACATAGGTATGTAGAGCTGTACATTATTCACCTTTCAAGTACAGTGAGCTCTCGTATGGAGAGGCAGAGATATATAAAATCATTAATATAATCTCACCCAACAGTTTAAGCTTTTGAGTTGAATTGATTCTTTAATAACCAAAAATATAATAAGATAAACTCTAGTAGATAAGTATCACGGATAAGTTATATTTGATTTCTCCAGTTTGGAAAGATATATGTTAGCGACTATTGAATTAGTTTTAAAAAATTGATTCAACTGGACAGAAGAATGGTGATACATGATTTGGTCAAAATTTAACTACTTGAATAGACACGCACGAATGTATACATGTAAGTAAACGAAAGTTCAAAACAATAACAATAGCATGAATAAGAATATGATATTTAGAGCTTTTAATCCTTCATTTTTATTATTTTTTCACAAGTTAAATGACTTTGGGTCTAAGAGGCCAAAATCAATATGGTAATGTAAAAAATTGAATTGACCCAATAAAGTTTGACCCAACGGCCCGTCTGCTATTGGTTTTTTTTTTTTTTTTTTTTTTAATTTAGTCCCACCCATTTATTAATATTTCTTTCTCATTCAATTTAAACTTTTTTTTTTATGTAGATAAGTGTAAAGTAAAGAGATATTTTTCCCATTCTATGGTACAAATAAATTACCAATCACAACAAGATTTTAAATCACAATTATAAATTATTTAGTGAAAAAACTCAATATTCAGATACAAGACATACATCTATGATGCGTGATAAATTAATTACATGCATGGGTCACTTTCTTGACTCCAAATTTGAGTTTGCTCGCTTGGAAAAAAAAATTGTACCCAAATTGAAGTATGAAATATGATAGATCATTCAATTAGTTTTTAAAAAAAGTCTTCTCGAATGCTGCTGGTGCATGCTGGAAATAGAAGTAGACATAATCCTTAAAATAATATTCACTAATCAGAATAGAAGATGCATCCTCTAAACATTTGAATTTTGTTGTTGGTTATGAATAGTAAGGAATACAAGTTATGAGTTTAATATAGAAATGAATTAATGGTGAAGGACTCAAATAATTTGTATAAAATTATAAGTTCAAACCTTCCTTAAATAAAAAAATTACCGACAAATCAATAATATAAAACAAAGTGATAAATAGCTATAACCAATTTAACTGCTTATTTAATAAACTGAACTCAAACAGCGTGCGGACGTTTCGTCATTGATGACGTGTGACCGAAGAAAGTTTTGAAAAAACACAAAAACAAAAACGAGGCATCATTCATTGAGAATTAATCTTATTCGTAGTGGCTAAATGCCTAACGTTGACGTTCGCATGAGCGTTATATGTTGAGTTATATAATAAGATTTTAAAATAATTAATTCATAACATGATCAGAATCTTTGTAATCATATAATTTAGATCTTGACTTTTATCATTGCCATCTCTCTTGAGGGTTCACATTACATTTGCATCAATAAATAATGGGTAATATTTTTTTAAGTTACATAAGAAAAATATTATTTCTTACACTCATAATTTTTATATGGGTTATATAAATTTTTTTTCTCTCACTTTCAACTTTTTTCTTTATCTTATTTATTGTTTGAGTAACAGATAATATTTCTCTTATACAACATAAGAAAAGTATTACTCATAAATAAAATATAATTGCATATTTTTCTTTCCAATGAGTTTTTCTTATCCCTTTCAAGACTAAATGACGGCCATTGTTTTCCGGAAACCCAATCCCGCTTCACCAGAATTACGGATATGCCAGTATTCTCCCTGTTTCATTTTTGTCATGTTTGGACAAAAAAATTATCAGACTGCCACGCTAACAGCAAATTTTGCCAAAATGTCACGCGGCATAATTCGCTACACAGTGTAGCGAAATATGCCACGTCAGAACCAAAAATGCCACATGTCAAATTTTGCAAAATTCGCTACCTATGTAGCGAATTTTGCAAAATTTATCGAAATATGCCACGTCAAAACGCACAGAACCAAGTTAGCGTGACAGTCCGGTAAATTTTTTGTCCAAACGTGGTACTTTGGTCACTGTTCTCACTATTTTCTCAACTCTCAAATAACTTAATTATTTTAACTTTTTTATCTAATCCTATATTCCTTTTTTGGCCTTGCATTTGTGAACTACCAGATATTCTGTAATTCGAACATCTGGATAAAACTTATTTTACATGTAAATGTAAATGACATCTATAATATTCATTAATGCTATTGTAAGAGAGATAGAAGAATCAAAATTAAAGCAAATATTTAACAATTAATAAATTCTCAATAAACTAGTATTTTTTTGTAAATAAAATTTTAGGGTGGAGATCTTTATTTAGCACTAAACTCTTAGATAATTTTGATTATAAACTTATTTATTATCACTGAATAATATTTAATTCTATACACATTTTTTGTTTCTTTTTTTATATATATAGTATTATTAGAGTGGGGGAAAGAGAGCAACGAAGTAACCATTGACCTTCAGTTTTCAAATAACTTATTCACTTCAAAAGTAGGGGTAGTTAGAGGATACGAAAGACCAACTGAGTCTAATGTAACATTATATTATATGAAGTTTTGAAATGGGTATCACCTACTAAATAAAAAAGTCTCCAATTATTCTAACCACTCCTTTTATCATTAACGTCACATGGCTAAGAGGAAGCATTTGGTACGCGAGATTCTTCAATAATTTTGGAAAATTAAATTTTTTTAAATTTTAAATTTACAGATATTATGGAAAATTGAGATTCGCAGTTAAATTTTTTTTTTTCCTCTGCCAAACTCCCCATAAAATTACTCGAACTTTTGCACATTCTCTTGCCATCAATCTCGTGCCTCTTCATCATCTATACTCAACCCATTTCTTCTTCCACCACTGCAAATCAAAAGTCCATCGAAGAAAAACAGAGCCATGAACAGAGAACAAGAAGATATGCAATTTCTTGGGCTCTATGGTGTTTACAAAGAATCCTTCAAGATCATACTTTCATGGAGGAATATCTTCAGCCAGATAACCTTAACTCTTGTCCTCCCTTTCTCCTTCATCTTCCTTATTCACATACAAATATCCCATTTCCTCTACAGGAAGATCATTCACAACATAGAGGAAATAATCGAAACCCCACAGGGCACACCCCAATACCAGAACCTCTCTGACATGATCACCTCTGAATATGCCACTTTCTGGCTCTTTAAGCTCGTTTACTTCACTTTTCTATTCATCTTCTTACTCCTATCCACTTCTGCAGTAGTATACACCATCGCTTCCTTTTATACTGCAAGAGATATAACTTTCAGCAAGGTCATGAGCGTTATTCCAATGGTCCTGAAGAGACTTATGGTCACCTTTATGTGCACCATCTTTGCTTTTTTAGCTTACAACGCTATGGCAGTGTTTATTTTCATCGTATATGCCCTTACTATTGGGGTACAGAGTGGTGGGATTCTAGGTTTAGTGGTTATAGGGATCTTATATTTAATAGGGTTTGTGTACCTTGCAGTGGTTTGGCAATTATCTAGTGTTGTGACGGTGTTGGAAGACTCGTATGGAGTTGAAGCCATGATGATGAGCAATGAATTGATAAAGGGGAAGATGGGTTTGTCCTTACTCATATTTTTGAAACTCATCGTTTCCTTTATCCTGGTACAGTTTTTGTTTAAGAAAGTGGAAGTGGTATTCGTGCATGGATGGAGGCTGAGTTTGGTGGACAGAACGGCATTTGGGATGCTGCGTTTCTTGATGATGTCTCATTTGTTCATTTTTGGACTTGTTCTCCAATCTGTGCTCTATTTTGTTTGCAAGTCCTACCAGTATCAGAATATTGACGAGTCTGATTTGTTAGATGACCTTGAAGACTATCACGGAGAGTACTATGAGCCATTGAAGGCTAAAGATGTTCACCAGGAGCAATCGCATGTGTGATAGTTATAAATAAAACATCATTTATCTAAATTGGGATTCGGATATCTATAATAGTTTATCGATGTCATAAGAATTATCATTATGCGTACATGTATGAGTACTGGATTACGAGGATTGTTTGCAGCCTGTGGATTACTTTGCATAGTATCTTAATAAATGCTTGGATTTTTTATTTTTTTTATATAGGAAATTATTTGATATCTGAAAGTGAATTATCATTATCGCAGGAATAAGAGTGTTTAGATGGAATTCTACTTTTTCAATAGTTGCTTCTTCTTTTTTGTATTTGAAAAAAAGTGATTTTAAATTTTTTTTTTGACTATTTGGACGTTGGCTTTTAAAAAAAGCAAAAGGCAATAAAAAAAGCCAAAATCTAACATTTTTCAAAATAACTTTTGGAAAAAAAGAGAAGTCAAAAGCTAGTGAATAACCATCTTCAACATCTTTCACTTGTTTCTCCTTTGTTTCCTTCGTTACTGAATAGGGTAGATGCGAAGAAAATATCATAATCAATTAAGCAAATTGAACACTCATGTACTAAACTAGAGAACGCCAAGGATGGAGATATGCAATGATATAATCGAGACTGTTCGCAGTTGTAGATCCATGAACAGAGTTTTTGCGAAGAAGGATCTGCATAATGCATTGTTGCAACGATCAAAATGAAAAGGAAAAATGCTTAGAGAGAGAAAGAGTAAGAGAAAATAAAAAATTGTTATTCTTTCTATTCAAACTTACAAGGGCGCACGGTGGAGAGTTTCAAACCCTATAATGCATGAAACAGTCACAATGGACAAGCCAGAAATGACACTGCAAAAGAAGCAGAATGCACAAAGAGAAAAGGACACAACAATAATTATAGGGTTTTATGTTTACCATGTAACATGATATAACATCACCTTTTTACCCACACATTAAAGAGGTGGGGTCCACATGTTTTTCTTTCTTTTTCGTCATTCCACTTTCTCTCTCCATTTTTTTTTTGTGAATGTTGGAAACAACACTTAAATCATGTAACATAACACTAATAAAACCCATAATTATATACTTAAAAAGTGATTTTTTTTAACATCCAAATAGTATTTTTACTTAAAAATATTTTTCAAATATTACATCTAAACGAAAAATAACTTTGACTTTTAAAAAAAAAAATTCATAAAAGGTTATTTTTTCAAAAACTCATCCAAAGAGGCCTAGTTGAGTTAAGTGATTCTATTTAAAGAGATAAGTTAGGGTGAGTTGCATTTTTTTTTAAATTGTTAGTTGTTTGATGATTAATGCATATGACTTAAAATTGTGATATTCATAGATAGAATAAAGCATAATTTGTGGTAATACTCATTTGTTATGCATTGTTTTATGCATAATAAAGCTGGAATAACGAATCTGTTAGGGGTATTTTTTTTTAATGTCGTTAATAAGATTTTGTAATTGGTTTAGGGATAATATAAAGTTTTATATTAAAATCACTAACACGGTATTTGTTTTAATATCGTTAAAAAGATTTTGTAATTGGTTTAGGGAAAATATAAAGTTTTATATTCAATCTCTAACACCTTTGTTCATGCCAAGAATATTTTTTTTTAAAGCTTGAAGTGTGAAAAATATACAGGTTCATCACATAAAAACTCTTTTTGGGATTGAACACTACAAAAAATGCGGCTTTTAGGTACATTCATTTATCCACATTCGTAAAACATGTGGCAAAACCTTAAAATGCCACGTATGTGCAACTAGAGGTGGCAAAGCGGGCCGCCCGCCCCGCCCCGTCATAAGCCCGCCAAAAAATGAGTTAGCCTGCCCCGCCCCGCTTTTGATAGTGGGCTAAGAAAGCCAGCCCGCCCCGCCCCGCCAGCCCGCCTATGTATTGAGATTTTACAATATTAATTACTTATTTGAGTACTCTAAATAATCTTTTTTTAATGGAAATCACCAATCAGCCTGCTCAGAGACTCAAAGCAAAGCAAAAACTACATGTAAAGACAAATTCGATTGAAAATGAAATTAGAGAAACTAGATGTTGCTGCTGCACTATACTTAATAATATATACACAAGATTGATTCACACATGCGTACAACGTACATACAAATACAACAAAACCTTATGCAACATCACTTTAAGAGGCTAAATAACATGGAGGACTATTCATGTATGAAAATAAAAAAAAAACTAAAATAAAATTCACGTATCACTCCAGTTATCATCATCTTAGCCATCATCACTTGCTGGTCGCTGCAACAACCTGAAAGTTTCTCCATTATGGATGCTAAGTTAGATATAAATTGCAAACACCAAAAACAATAAAGGAAAAGAGTATTAGATAACAATACTTGGCGGATTGCATTTGCTTTCTCCAAAAAGCCGTAACTTTGACGTTGACAGTGGGACTAGGACTATGGTTTCATGAACAACATTTGACAATTCTATTAGCAAAATACTAATTTCAGTTAGAAGTGAGAAGCAAAATACATCCAAAATACTAATCTCACTAAAAACATAAACAAAAAAACCACTCAAACTTCCAACACAATCACGATTCACCATGCTGTTCGTTATTTGATGCCACAATTAAAATTCCATCTTCAACATCTTTATCTACAAATCACAATTCAAAAAAGAAAATAATCATATTAACAAAAAATTATGGTTGAAAATAATATAGCAAATACATTCAATTTAAATAAATTACCATTGGCATGAAAATCATTTAACCAATTACGGGTGCAAATCAAAGCTTCAACACATTTGGGCAAGAGACTATTTCTATATTTATTAAGGACACGTGCCCCAATGCTAAATGCAGACTCAGATGCCACAGTGGTGATAGGAATGCTCAATAAGTCACGAGCCATTAACGATAGATCTGGAAAGCGTTTACTATTTTCCCTCCACCATTGCAATACATCCAAATGTTCATAATATTCAAAACACAATGATGACTCTTCCAAATAAATGTCAAGTTGAGACCTTCCAGTTTTTATTGCAAGGTGATGATTGAGCATCTTCAAATTCTGTAACATGAAAAATGAAACTATAAGTAAGATTATGCTTACAAAAGGATAGAATTTAAAGTAAATAAACTATATAAACTTACACCAAACATTGGCAATTCCCAATCTTTCTTATCCCTTGACCTTGACCCACTTGATGACAGAGATGTAATATCACTTTGATCAGTGGAAGTGGAAGTAGAAGAATTATTACTTGCATATTTCTCATAGAGCATGTACAACTTTCTCCTTGTTTGCTCTACCTTTTGATCAACTGTAGATTCATTAACTTGTGAGTAACAAAATTTCAATGAATCTAACTTCATCCGGGGATCAAGAACAAATCCAAATGCAAGTTGAACGCTATATTCATCCCAATATTTCTCAAACTTCAACAACATATTTTCAGCCATAGTCTTTAAAACCTCATCTTCATCATTCAAATGATGAATTAGAATGCATTGAATTTTCCAAACCTGCTCAAAATACATGTTGGAAGTAGGATAAGATGTGCCAGAAATCAAGGTGGTAATATCATAAAATGGCTTCAAGAAAATACAAAGTTTTTCTCCTCTTTTCCATTCTTCAGCTGATGGACAAAATTTATAATGGTTGTCATTCAATTGAAGGCATGCAAACACACGTTGGTAACTAAGAGCACTTTGGAGCATCAAATAAGTAGAGTTCCATCTAGTAGGAACATCCAGGCGCAGGCCAATTGAATTGTCAACATCTCCAACATATTCAATGCATTCCTTAAATTTTATTGCTCTACCTTCTGAGCCCTTAACATATTCGACACTCTCTCTAATCTTCATCAAAGAAACACTAGCTACTTTCAACCCTTCTTGCACAATTAGATTCAAAATGTGTGCAGAACAACGCACATGAAAAAATTCTCCATCACATAACAACATATTATGCATAACAAGTTGACTTTTTAAAATATGACCAATCATATTATCATTGGAAGATGCATTATCCAAAGTAAGGCTAAAAACCTTCTTCTCTATTTCCCATTCCTTCAAGAAACCAAGTATTTTTTTAGACAATTCAAATCCAGTGTGAGGAGGAGGCATATGTTGGAAGTTGATAATTTTGCTATTTAACCTCCATTTTTTATCTACAAAGTGTGCTGTCAAACATATGTAACCTTCAGTTGTACAAGATGTCCATAAATCAGAAGTTAAGCAATTTCTACCAGGAATGCTAGCTATTGTTAGCTTCAGCTTCTCCTTCTCTCTCTTGTAAATATTTAGGATATCACTTTTGGCAGTATTTCTTGAAATAGGAACAAAGTCAGGATTCAAGTATTTTACCCATTCTCTAATCTTCTCATATTCAACAAAGTTAAATGGCAAATCATGTTCAATAATTGCAACTGCCAACATCTCACGTGCCACCATTTGATCTATCTTTCCTGGCTTCAATCTACCGTGCATAACTATCACCATCTGACCTATATCTTCAAATTTGATTTCTTTACACTTTTCAATATGTCGATTTAAAGATGTTGTTCCATGTGTTTTTCCACCAGCCTTATACTCTTGACCACAAGCATTACATTTTGCCTTTTCAACACCATCCTTATCGGGTCCTAATTTTGTGAAAAATTTCCAACAATCTGCTGTTGATATCTTGACCCTTTTGTTGCTTTGAGATTCTTCTTGACTTTTTTCCACATCATTAGATTCAATATCAATAGGGATATCAATTGTAATAGTTTCAATTTCAATGCAGATATTAGATAAAATAATTAACTGCAATTCTGCAAATATCAAAATATACAAAACTAATTTAGTGACCTCATTTCAAACATAATATAGCATTTAGATTTTTTTTAACCATTAAAGAAAGAGAAAAATTCAAAATCAATTTCCTCATCTGCATTATTGAATACCAAGGATGCAGAGTACTATCATCCATGTGCACATTTTTTTCGCTGAAGGAAGAGCATATTATAAATGCAAATTGGGTACTAGTGTTATGATGTGAAATCAATTAAACAT